AAATCACTGCGACTCAGAAACGAGTAGCAACGTCCGACAAATCGTCGCATCACTTTAACATGCAAATCACACATTTTCTTCCCCCCACCCTCTCCTTCCACCGGAGCAGAAGTATACAGAAGTATACACTTCCCACATCGATGACCACGGAGCTCAGAGATCACGATCGCAGAGTGATGCGGGTTATCGCGGGACCCCTGCTCCAATAGGCTATCACCATCGGCAATCGCTCGATTAACGAGCGTCGAATTCTTAATCGCCAACTGGAGGCTGCTTCCAGAAGCAACCTCTATTGGGCGCTTTCTGGTCCCAAAACTCTTCTATTCCAAAGATATGTTAGCAAAGATATTTATTCCAGTTCTAACAATTCCTTTCTCCCGATTGCAGCTGCTAGTACTATGGAAAAGGCGAAGGCGTACATCAAAAATGAACTTCGCGGTGGCAGCCAGCAATCCGAGCCAGCAACCACGCCCAACCCGACCTCTCCGGCCTCGGCGCCTGGAACACTCCAGGCCACGAAGCAGCCCTATCCGCCCATGGAGCTGATGCCCTCACCCGGAGCAGCCGCCCATCGGAGCTCCCGGACGCCGGGCGAGCAGTACCACTTCGCCTATCAGCCGCATCCTGCTCAGCATTACCAGCCGGGCGCCAAGTCGACGGGAAGAGCCTCGGCCCCGCCCGATAACCATCATGTGGCCATGACCATATGCTTCGTGTGCGGCGGACATGGTAGCTTTGAGCCGCAGCCCCTAAGGATTCGACACAATGCCGAGCGTCCTTCAGAGTCGTATTTCCCGTTTCTGGAGCGGCATGAGCCTCCGAACGGGGTGCCGGGTGTGGCGCCGGGCCAGGAGTACGTGTGGGCCTGCATGCTCTGCTTTCGATCCTTGAACGAGCAATGGGATGCCTACGAGCGCCAGAAGAAGCCCCTGCTGCAGCGCATCTACCACATGAAGCGGGTGGACGGCAAGGGCTACATAGGAGCCGATGTGGCCACACAAAGCGAGTACGCCGCTCAGGTACTGGGCCTGAGTGCCGAGCATCTCACCCAGAATGGCCTGGTGGAGGGGCATGGAGATCCCTATGCCCTGGCACGCCACTACTCGCCGCAGCAGCAGTCACACCACCACCACAGTACCTCCAGGAATGCCTCACCCTCGCCAAATCCCAATGCTGCCGCTGGTGGTGGGGAGTTTTATCCCAGGAACTCGACGCCGTCGAGCAACCACAACAGATACCTGAGCAGGCCGCAATCCCGGGACATGCCCGTGGCCTCGCCCATATCGCGACCGCCCAGCGAACCACCGGCCATGAAATCCGCCGGCTATGCGCAGCAGAAGTTCAAGCTGAGCCCGGCACCGCCGGCTGGCTATCAAGCACAGGCGCCCTATCATCCCGCCCAGTACCAGCAGTTGCAGCAGCAGACGGCGGCCTATCACCTGCTGCAGCAGCAGGTGAACGCTGCCGGCGGAGCAGCGGATGCGGTCCACTACAAGGGCAATCCCTACGGTGCGTTGCCTTCGCCTGGCAGCGGTCCACTGGGTCCCCGAGCGCCGTTAACGCTCGAAGATGACAATGCCACCGTGCTGGACCTGCGCAACTCCTCCAATTCCAGTGCTCCGCCGGCACCGCGTCATGGTGGCAGCACTGCATCCGTCTCCCAGCCAAGTCAACCGCAAGCGGAGGTGGGCATCCTGGACCTATCCATGCCGGACAAGAACTCCATCACCGAGGTCTGCTACGTGTGCGGCGATGAGCAGCGCAGAGGTAGCCTCATCGAGCTCAGCACAGTGAAGCCCAGGGAAACGGGCAGACCCGGACCATCCGTGCCGTACTTTCCCCTCTTCAACGAGCAGCATCCGCGGCCGGCACGTTCGCGCCCCAAGGATCCCCGCGGCATGATCCAGGCCTGTCTGCCCTGTTACGAGGACCTCATGCAGCAGTGGAATGTCCACCAGGTGAGTTTGCAATGCAAATAGTCGGCTTCCTCATTGGCATACATGCATATGGAGCAGATTCATCCGGTACCGCCAGCGGGCACCCATTTCCAATTGATATTTCGCCTCGAAATGGGTGGGACTGGGAGTCAAGTTAAGGGATTTAAGATGCCGCAGCTGATGGTTGCTAACTTGAGCTGCATGAAACCTAAATGTTGCTTAGTAAATTATATACTTCACTTATTTTTCACACTTTGCGAGTTAACAGCGAAGCAGTTATGCTTTATATACTTTCAACCAAATGGCCAAACTAAAGCCTCTCATCCCAGAGGTTAACACCCGAATGTTCGTTTGTACCATGTAGCCCCACAGAATGTTTGAATATGCAAATGGAAATGTTTATGGATGCTGGCAAATACGTACATGCCAGTGCTTTTCAAAATATTTTGTGAAAATTTCAATATTGTTCGCTCTGGCATAAATAATGGAATTCAATAAAATGGTTTGGGTGGAGGCTGCGTAGAACGGAAGTGGAAATGCAAAAGCAAACATTGGCAACAAAATTCCAAAAAAGAAATACAAGAGGCGAAACAAATTTACGAGAGCAGTTTTTCGCGTCGCGCGAATCAAAATAAACAAAAATATGGCCACGGCATCCATTGGGGATGAGGTTGAGGATGGGGATGATGATGATGATGGTGGCCATAACGACGATCATGATGATGTTGGCGCCATGCAGATTGACCCGGGAGTTTAAGGCTCTCCACTGTGCGAACGATTAATCAGTGGGGTCGTCGTCGTCGTCGTCGTCGTCGTCGCAGCCTCCACTCGCACATAAGTGTACATATGTACATGTATACTCCACAGAGTATGCCCTGCTCCCCTCGTAGGAGGGCATCGTCATCATCCTCGGACAGTGCCCGCCAGTGGGTTGGGGACCAGGGCGGGCGGGGTCACACGGGGAGCGGACGGCGCTCGTAAAGGCGGCGAATGTTGTGGGAATTTTGACCGCAGGGTCGCTTGTGTTTCTGATTAAATTTTAATAGCTTTCCGCGATTATTTCGCTTCTTTCGTTTTGCTTCGCATTTCGCTGTCGCTGCTTTTTTCCTCGTTTTCTCTTATTTGTTTGTCTTTCGATTTTATTTCTGAATGCGAAAATGTATTTATAAATTTGAGACATCGCCCTGGTTTCGCTCATTGATGATAGTGCTCGGTGGAGCATGGGGCTTGTGGCTTGGGGCACGAAAGTTGGTATCAGTGTGCTTGGTATTGGCGGAGTGATTCACGATTCGCATTCATTGAGGGGGAGTTCTGCCAAGTTAAATATGGGTTTCGATTGATTTGGTAATTCATTTTTTACATAATTTGATATATATTTTTATGTGGGCACTGGTTTCTAGCTCGAAAGTAACTCGAGTAACTTAATTTGATGTAATTCTGTTGCCACCACTTTTGAAAACACCTCTCACACGCAACCAACCTCACAAATGGAAATTAATTTGTTAAGTTTGAGTGCCCACAGCCCCATAGCTCCACCCACCACCCACCGCAACCGCCTGCCCTCGGCACGGAGCCAAAACAATTTGAATTTTAAATTCAGAGCCGAGCAGAAATTTGCAACATGCCATAAAAATGCAAAATTCACAGCTGGTGAGACGCTGCCGCCTCTGGAGGAGCGGGAATGCAATGTGTAAAATGCCGGATAAATAATTAAATGCCATTAATTGGAATTGTGTAAATTTCGCAGGAAAAAGTAAGGCCCTAACGAAAATAAGCGATGGAAAAAATGAATGCCCGCGAAACAATAAATAAATAAATAAAGGCAAATAAAATGGCAAATGCTGCAATGCGGAAAGCAGCGCGAGAGGTGTGCCATGTCCAGTGTCCACTGTACACTGTCCAGTGTCCAATGTCCAGTGTCCAGCCTATTCAGGGAAATGCTGGATGAATAAATAATCAAACTGGGAAAATCATAGTGGCTGGGTCGGGGCGACGAGACAAATTAATTAAATTTAACCCAGTAAACCATGGAAACTCTCTGTTGGCTGGTTGCCAGAAAAGCAAGCCGCACCAAAACGAGCCTACGCATTTTCCGCCCCTCCGTCCATTTCCACATTTCCCCATTTTCCATTCAGCGAAAAGTGCGAAAAGCAATTTAAATATTTATGCTCAAAATTTATTTAAAGCACAGCCAGTGCAGCCAAACCAAATCAAATAATGAACGAAATGAGAAAATTTCAATCGATCCGTTGGTCTGGCTCGCTGCCAGAACCGAAATAAACTAAAGCCATAAACTATATCTAGATAAGCTATAAACAATTGTATAAACAAATCGATTCCGATACCCTCTAAAGCCGGGAAATGCGGAGAGTCTATGCGTATTGGTAATTTTCACGAGACATATTAAAACTTCTTTAGAAATAGACATTTTTTTCAAGCAAAAAAATATCATTAATATGATATGAATAAAACCAATACTTTATATATAAAATATTTATTTATGTTTGTGCAGTTATTAACATGAAATTTATGTTTGCCTTGGCATTCGATGATGCTCACACACAGGTTTTAAGTTCCTTTGAACGCCCATAAAAAATGGCAAAATTCCTTGAAATTTAATTGTTATTTAAACATTTCATAAATTTATGCGCTCGTAAATGGGCAAAAAAATAGAACAGAGGCGTAAAGAAGAACGAATCATAAGATTGACAGCAATGACCTGCGGAATTCCCTTGGCTCCCAAGAATTTCCTGGCATTTTGCCCAAAAGTCAATAAAAGAAACGCAAACACGACCCAGACACTAGATCCAGATAAAACTGGCTGCGAAATCAATTCCAAACGGAAAACGTAGTCATAAAAAGGAAATAAAATGCATGAGCATAAATTAAGAAAATAATGTGTGGTGTGGCATTCTTTTATAGGTCAATTCTTGTGTCATATTTAGGAAAACAAATACTCTGTGCTTTAAGCAGATGATATCAGAGCTGATTAAATTCCACTGACGTGCGTAACATATTGAACCATTTTTTTATGGACCAACTTGAAATAATGAAAAAATTGCGTTGATCGTAAAGCTAATAAGTTCCAAAGTATTTATTTGTCAAGTAAATGTTTAAGAGACACAGAGGGATAAATGCTTAAACAAGCTTAGAGATAGGTAGAGACACTTAGTAGAGGCTTTCCCTGGTATAGAAGCTGTCCCACACAACAAACTGTTTGCTCTCCGGCAGCGGAATATACTCCAGGCCATCGGCGATGTTAAGGCAGTTTTCCACGCCACCCGGACGCAGTGGGTCCCACTTGACGGGAGCGATAATCTCGCAGTTGGGATCTCCGGTGGCGGCGAAGGATGTCCACATGCCCACCAGTCGCTCAATGGTGCGGTACTCGGGCGAATTCTTGTCCAGCTTACTGGAGAGTATCCCATAGAACAAGTAGGAAATGTCGTCTGCGTGGCACACACCCCTCACCTTTTTACCGCACTTCAAGATGCGAAATTGATTAAAGTGTTCCGAATCCATATCGAATCGATAGAGATACGTGGGCAAGTTGGTGGCATAAGCCAGTCGAGCGAGCATGGTGCGATGGATGTCGTGCCAGAAGTTCTTGATGCTCAGAATGTGGAGGCACTCGTAGAGCTCCATGCTGGCCCGGTCGGGGTCGTCAAAGTAGGACTTCTTCAGCTTCCTCACCATCTCCGCCAGCTCATCCTTGTCGATGGCATCGCGAACCTGTTTGGGAATTATGGCCTCGAAGGCACTCAGCATATGAAGCGGATCATCCAAGGTGCTCCGATAAGAGAAGAGTCCTTCGAACGAGGTTCCGCCTATGATCAGTGGAATGGAGTTGCCCCAGGCGCTGGACAGCTGCTCTTGCTGCGATTTTGGTATCACGCAATCCTCGCCCACATATGGCTCTATTACCGGGGCAAAGGCCAGGATCTCATAGTCGCGCTGCTCCTCCTGCGTCACGATCGAATTGCAGTACTGGGCCAGCTTGCTGGCCGGGATCTGCTGGAAGAACTCCAGCAGTTCCTTCTCGCTCTCCAAATTGCCGGCATAGCCCAGTTCCTTGCCCAATCTCTGAGGCCACTTTCGGTCCGGTTGCGTGGCCCAGGCACACAAGGCTGAACCGGATTGAACGATGGCGCGGTGGAAGAGTCCTCTGGCCTGCTCCGTTTGCATGAGGATGTGCGTGGAAGCTCCGCCAGCTGATTCGCCGAATACGGTTATGTTCTCTGGATCGCCATTGAAGCTGGCTATGTTCTCTTTGATCCAACGCAGTGCCTGGATCTGGTCCTTCAGGCCCGCATTTCCCGGTATCTTAAGCGCCTTGTCCTTGAGACTCAGGAAGCCCAGGGCACCCACCCGATAGTTGATAGTAACCAGCAGGACATCGTGCTTCATAAAGTAATCCGGTCCATAGAGTTCCCGCGAGGCTGCGCCCACTTGAAAGCCCCCACCGAAGATCCAGACCATAACGGGCAGTGGCTTCGGCGACTCCAGCCGCTTGGCATAGACATTGAGGTAGAGGCAATCCTCGGATCCCTCGGCAGTGCCGGTTATGGAGTTCCTCTGCATGGGCTTCTCCCTGGCATAGCTGCAATCCCTGACTCCCTGCCACGAGCTCGGAGGTTGGGGTGCGCGAAAACGCAGCTCGCCCACGGGCGGTTGGGCAAAGGGAATGCCCTCGAAGGAGTAGTAGGATTCGCCATCGTAGAGTGTCCTGCGCTGCTGACCCTTCAGCTGGCCATACTTGGTGGCCAACTCCTTGGTGTGACCCGTGCCCAGCTTGTACTGAACAAACTTATGGCCCATAGCCCTGAAAAGAAAGAGCAGTCATGATGACTCATCGGTTCAGCTCGCCTCTGCACTTCGCACTCACTTGGCGCCCAGTTTCAACTTGTCACTAAAGCTCACGCGCAAATCCATTGCCACCTAATCTGAACTGTGGTACTTACTAAGTATGTGGTGTTATATTAATATTATGTATACGCACTGAAAGCTACTTGGCCCGCAATCCTCTCCGACACTTCCAACGCGCTCGACCGCCGGGCAGAGACTGAAAACGCTGCTCGCTGCTCCAGTTGATGATAAAATTGTTTAGATAGTCCCATAGCCGCGCCCTCCAGTGGGGGCCAGTGGGGCGACCATAATAATTACCACTGTTCGGCACCCACTCAGCCGGTGGGTCGAGCATATGCCTTGTCCATATGCGGATCAGTTGATAGAGGTGCCGTTCTAGGCAGCGAACCCAGATATGTTTGGGTACGATAACTGATAAGATTCGAGTGGTCGATGGGGCTGCAATCACATTTACTGCCCGATGGAGATTAAAAGGTGCAGTTGAACAAAAGTATCATTACTTGGGATACTGTCAAGGTTAATGGGTAGGTTAATGTAAGGTGGGTTTTATCATAGTTAGTGGGGAATGTGTACTTTTAGACACATTTCTTACTTAACTTTAAATTCAAACTATGCTTTTAGGCACTTGCAATTGAGATATTCGTGTTATTAGTAGCTGTAAAGTTAAAGTTAAACTCGCACATATTTAGTATTTGGATGGGTGGTTTAAGTATGATATGTTAGCTACGCAAATAACATCTTCCAGCTTTGGATGGATGTGGGTACTTTCAGCTCAGTGGATATTGATTACCATATGTTCATCCCGGTTAAGCTGGTTACCTGCTCTAAGTACCAGATGATTGTCAACGATCCTGCGGATGCAGAGCATATGAATAAATTCCGCGGAGTGGGCGATGGAGCAAAGAAAACGAGGCTGTCATTAATTAGGCATTACAATGCTCCTCCGAGTCGCTGCCTTTGCATTGGAGCAGCTCTTGCCTTGGCAATTCACTCTCTACATTTGCGCCAAACAACGATGACGTGGTGATGACTTAAGAGGCTGAGTGGGTGTTTGGGTGAAAGGTGGCCGGAGTGGGCGGAGTGGCTGGTGTGGCTGGAGTGGCTGTAGTGCGGGAGTGGGTGGTTTCCCCGGCAACGGGCACCATTCCGTAGGAGAGTCTCCTGCGGCTTTAGTCTGTCTGGTCGCCTTGGTTGGCTGGCCTCTCTCGTTGTTTGTGCATTAGTTAATGTGATTATTTCACACTTCGTCTGCTCTGAACTAACATTTAATTTGGCTCCAGCTCCCTTCCCTTCCCTTGTCTTCCCTTGCTTTCGCTTCGCTCTTTTGTTTGTGTTCCTTTGTTTGGCCAGTATCATTTGTTTGCTGGGCCGCCAGTGTTCAAGTGTGTGCGTTTACTTAACTTCTGTTATCACTTAAGATGCGTTTGGGATCTTGTCCCCATGCTGCAACAAATTCATTCCAAATTTGTACCGAGCATTGGTTCAGCGACTGCTTAGCATTCACTTGATCCAGTTGCTTAAAGCCTTTATGTCTATGAAGTCTATGAATTAAATCTCAGCTTAAATCATTTAACCACTTTGGGGCCCAATTCAATTTCGTTGGCTATTTCGCCTACATTGTTTCCGCCTTTGCTGTTGCCAGGTGCATTATTGGGTCCCTGAGTGTGTCTGAGTGCATCCCCACACTCGCATTCTGGCCCCCAAAGTACCCACATTGTGCAAATTCGTGCTGCACTGTTGGTGTTGCCATCGACTAAATAAATAAACATTGCAATCTATGTTGGAGAGCGTTTGTTTGGCTGTGTTGCTGTTTTCTTATTTGCTCCGCTTTTCAGCTCGGCGCCATTGCAATTGCAAACAGGCTACGCATTTGTCTATATCCATCTACAGTGGGCACCCACTAGCCTGAACGCATTTGCCATACAAGATTCGGGGATCCAGTGTGGGATTAGGTTTCGCAACCTAGTAACTTAGCTTGCATGTTTTAGGCAGAGCAAGCTATGCTGCTTTGACTTGCGTTCACGTTACGGACGTTGCACTGTATCTCTGTGTGAACTCCATCCACGAGTTATTCGCTCTTGGCATGACGACCTCCAAGTGCTTGCGTCTGCTTCAGTCCCTCCTCCTCGTCGTCCCCTCTTTCCCTGCATCTTCAGTCCCTCCTCCTCGTCGTCCCCTCTTTCGCTGCATCTTCATCGCCTCCTCCTCTTTACGGCAGTGTTTACATGAAGTTGGCAGCGCCTACTTGCCAGAGGTGGCGACCCCCGACCTCCGACCGCCGACCCATTGCCCCTCGCCTTGTCCCACTTCTCTTTTTGCCACTGTTTTCCTCATCTCTTTTTTTCTTTTTTTTTGATTGTTTGTGCTTCTGTTTTTCCTCGTTTTTGGTGTTTTTCTTTATTGCCAAACACTCGCTTTTTACCTGATTTCACGGGTTTTTCGCCTCGATTTTCAGGGTTGCCGTCATCGAAGGAATTCGAGGCAATAAAACTTAATTCAGAGTGCTGTTGTGTGGGGTCAAAATGGAATTCAATTCAATTAGAAAAGTATGTGCGCTTAAATCCGAAAACCAAAACAAAATCAATCAATTTTGTTTGTCAAGCGGAGAGCACTAAATAAAAAAGTTTCCAATGCTCTACACTCTTTTCCTATGAATCAAACGTGATTCACATGGAAATACATATGCCTTCTCCCATATCGTAGTGTTTTAATATGGCATTATTATAAATAATTTGAATGCGGTTTTAATTGACTTTTTTAGTTGCGCCAAATGTGGTATTTCAGGCATGCATTGTAGACATTGTACCCAAAACAATGGCAAATTGACGGAAAAATTAAATTTATTGCTGTGCACTCGCAGAACTTTCGGAAATATCGTTAATTTTGCTGAAACTGTTTCTGCTAAATGGTGTTAGGCTTTCTTCAGTTTCTATTTATTAAAAACCGCGTTTTTCGATTAGAAAATGTATTGTGCATAAATCGTTGCATGCTTTATGGGGCACAAACCCTAACGCACATTTACGAAATAGTATTGGTAAAAGTGCCAATTTACTTTTAGATTGAGAGCAGAACTTCATAATTAAATGGAAATGTAGTGTAAATTGGTGCTAAAAATACACTAGATAACTCAACTGATTACCTAACCAGTTACTCTTTGTGTGGCAAACTAGTTTATGTGCTAAACAAAACCTAAACTTAACTAAACTTAAACTAAGACTTATTAATTATCCCTCCGTCAAACCGACTGATTACCGAACCAGCTACTTATCGTACTTAGTTGCTAGTTGTTCTGGTGCAGTTTCCTAGTTAGTTACTAGTTCCCGCCTCCAACTGACTGAATACACAACCGTCTTGGCTCTCCAGCTCTTTGCGGCTTTTCGTCTCCCCAATCGACGCCTCAGTTGAATGCGAATGTGGTTCACTTCATTTCGTCGCTCCATTTTGGCTTTTCGATTCGTGGCTGTGTGTGGGTGTAAGCGTGTTTACTTTGAGTGCGACTCTGTGTCTGTGTGAGCTCCCCACGAAGCCGCCGTCGACGGCGGCGTCGCTGCGACTGCGCCGCTTGTTTTGTTTGTTTGCGTTTGTTTTAGCTGCTTTTCTGCTGTGCTGCCTCTGCCGCTGCCTTTGCCTTTGCCTTTTGCCTTTTGCTTTTTGCCTCTTGCTTTGTTTTTCTTGCGGGCACAAGAACAAACGAACGAGGGCAGCAACAACAATGCGTCGCAGGGCTCCACTCTATCAGCAAACTCGCCGCCGCCGCCGCGCCGCAGCTGGCGTCGCTGGCAGCGTCTGCGTTGGCAGCGCGCGCTCGATCCGTTCTTGCCGCCGCAGTCGCTCTTTTCAGTCGTCGTCGTCGGCCGTCGCTGGCATCATTATACCGTTCCATCGTCGCGCGATTTTCAATCTCAATTCGCAATTGTTTATTGCTCGAATAATATATATGTAAATATGCATGTGTGTGTGTGTGGGTGTGTGTGGTTGTTATCAACAAAAACGACAGTATGTGTGCCAAATCAAAATTGATAAATGCACAATATAAAGTGTGACAGCAACAACAACAGCTAGTATCAGGAGCCAAATGAGTGTTGTAATAATAAAAGCAAACAAAAGTTCAATGTCTGTGGTCGCCGGCAACGGTGGCAGTGCCCCAAAACTGGTTTTCAAAATGAAGTGAAAAGAAAATGTATAACCACCAACTTAACGACGCCGCGTCTGCTGAAAAAAAAAAAAAAACAACAAAAAAACACAGCAAACATAACGACCAACTTTGTGCCCTTTTCCAGTTAGTTAATCGCCGGCTAGCATCTTCAAGGGTCAACTAAAAGGTGTCAGTCGTTGGAGACGTGCGCGTGCTTCCAGTGCGGCGATGAGTCACCGCACTTTGGCTCAGTGTATTCGATAATCAAATTGCCGCCAGGCAGTTCAATGATTTCCATGCGGGAACTATTAAAGCGATCAATTAATTCAATTTAAAGCAGTTAAAGCGGTGCACTTGGCTTACCGTTACAAGTGTCACTGCAACAAATTGATGCAGATGCAGGAATTACCAATCGAATGGATTTAAATGCGACACCCATGTGCGCAATTAACGATATTACAATTCTCATTTATGAGGCTTGAACAACATTAATTATTTATAATGTTAATAAAATAAATTCCACCGCAAGTCTGCCTTGTCGAACTGACTAGCAATTTGTATCTCAAGTTGAAAAAAGTTAAGCACTCTCGCCTTTCGTTTGCTTATTATATAGTTGTCATTTTTATTTTAAATTAGATCAAGATATTTTAAGTATTGTGGTGATCACAAGCGTGATTCTCTAGTGTACTAATAATATTTGAAGCCTTTTAAATTTGGCAAGAAATCCCATCTCTAGGCCGAGCGGGTCAAGTTTTTTGGCTATTATGCAGTGTATCTTAACCTGTCATCGCGGTGGCAGCGCCATTAGGCCTGCGCCTGTGTGAGTGCGTATCTGTGTGCCGCGAGTTGAAGTACAAGTACAAGTACAATTACAAGTAGACGACTTAAGCAAGTGAGGCGGCGCGAGTCAAGAACACCAACTACCGTTTCACTTTGCGCGCTTTAAACACGCGCATTTTTTTTCTTTTTTTTTTTTTGCCGTTTTCCGCTTGTTTGTTTGCGTGTACCGTTCTAAAAATAAAGCCACCGTTCCATGTGCAAGCTCCCTTGCTAGATTGTACATACATATGTA